GCTGCACTGAGAAGGCCTACCTCAGAATATCTCTATGGTAACACTCTGGTAATAGTGGGCAGGCTCCCTTTGTGGCTCTTTCTTAATTTTCTTCTTCCTTTGCTTCTTACACCTTCCCCTTGCTCTTTTTTCTTTCCCTTTTCTTTCTTCCTTCTTCCTTCATTCTTTCTTTCCTGTCTTCATTTCTTCCAGAAGACACCAAGCAGCAGCTAACCAGCTCCACTTCTTTCCTTTCCTAGTGACATAACAGAGGGGTAGTTCACCTAGCAACACCCAGTCATTCAACTAGCCACAGCCAATCATTTTCTATTCTATTCTTTTCTTTCCCTCTGGCCTAGGAATGGTTATTTTACTTCAAATCTCTCAATTATTTTAAGTTTGATAATGAAGGGTATGTGTGCCAAGTTTGCTCCGGATCCATTAAACCGTGTAGGAAACTAACATTTATATAGAGAGATTGGTAACATACTTGTCCCAATTTTTGAAATTAAAACATAATCAAGTGCTTTCACATTGCAAATGAAAAAAAAATGTATGTTCCAACAATACCAGATTCAAACTAAGGATTTTTTTTTCAGATGAGGGTTCAGCCTTGGTCGCTTGTACTGAGGTATTATTTACATATTTTAACAAATAAAAACAATAAAACAATTTGGCCAGAGAAGCACCACAAGCCCTTAAAAAAACAAATTTATAATTTAGATGCTATGATTATAAGATTATACTCCACATGATCCAGACATGAAAGGAAGTACCCTGCAGAGGAGAGACTCACAATCAGGAGAAACTCTCTATGGCATTAACTGCAAAAAATACACATCCATACATGAAACACAGTCAGGTCAAAACAATATCATATTTCACAATGCTTTTTTGTAAAGGAATATTAAGAGATGGTTTGGCCAGCACCATCCTCTGAAATATAGTCTACAGCACTTGATATTTGTTGGTGGTTTCAAACCAGCTGACTCTGCTTAGCTTCCAAGATAACAGAAAAATAACAATCATTAGAGTCATAGAGTTAGAAGAGACCACAAGGGTCATCAATTCAATCTCCTACCATGCAGGAATACATAATCAAAGCACTCCTGACTGGTGGCCATTCAGAATTTGCTTAAAAACTTTCAGAGAAGAAGCCTCCACCACAATCCAATAACCAATGGAAATAAACGAGTTAACAAAATGTTCTGAGTTCTGTATCTGCTGGCAAAGCAAAGATGCACTGTAGCTCTCCAGCTGACCCATATATGACAGTATATTAGCTTAAAGTATTTGCCATAAATTAGTAAGCTTTGTTTACATTGTTTATTTTCCAAATACCCACTGTACTTTTTTTGTAGAACCTTGCATTTGTTTTTATGTGCCTTCAAGCCAACTCCAATTTATGGTGACCCTCTTGATAAGACTCAAAGGAGAAACCCAATGGGTTTCCACAGCTCAGTAGGCATACAAATACTGTTCACTCAAAATCTTTGTCCTATAAATTGAAACTACACTACACTCTGTCTCCACTGATCTTGTTTCATATTTATTGGTTGTTTTTTTTAAAAAAAAGTCATGTAGATTTTGAACAAATTGAGATGGAGGCATTGTTTCACCTCAGCAGGAGTTCACCTTGCTCACAGCATTCACCAAGAAACCAAACATGGTAAGAAACCATTTATTGATTTTAAGGCCAAGGGCACCTTAAGGTAATAGAAGAGTAAAAATCTAAGAGTTAATAAAGGAAGCAAATCCCAAAAACAATTGGTAAATCCAGAAAACAATGGTTAAAACATGAACATTAATCCAGGAAACAAGGAGCAGAACATGATCATGAATCCAAAGGCAAATCCATAAAACAAGGAGCAAAACTTGACCATGAATCTTGGGTCTTGAACTAAGGCATGAACCAGGAATGTGTCAAGATTTCCACACTCCAGTAGCGAAGTTGCTTTATTTAAAATCCTAACAGCCCTCTCCATAATTTAAGGACTGCAAAACATGAACACACTCATTTGACCTTGAGAGGCCTGCTTCTGCCTCTCTTTCTCATGGGTTTTCTTGCACCTTGATCTTTTTCTTCTCAGAAGCAGCCTGATATCTCTATCTAAGCCAGCTGCTTCCTCGGTTGAGCTAATGTTATCCTCCCCTCCCTGCCTGTTGGCTTTCAAAACACTTTCACTGTCACACTCTATCTCAGCAACAGCACCTTACTCTAACCCCCCCCCCATTCCTTCAGCTGGAGAACTATCCTGTTTCCCCCTCTGTTCGCTCACTGAGAAAACCATTAGGCCCTCAACCCCTGAGCCCCTCATCTTCATCTGACTGAACCACAACACACATTTTGTCTTCATCATCTTAGTCACTAGATGCCTAAGTTTCTCTGATTTGCACCTATTAAAAAACTCTGTGCAAAGCATAGATCACAAGCCACACATGGCCACTGAACCCATTTTTATAGACCTTGGAGTAATTCAAAGCCCCCAATGTGTTTTTAAAAACAAAAACCACAATTTTCAGAGAATGTTGCCATAAAACCATGCAGATGAAATGCCAAAACTTGTGGCAACCTACCAATTAACCACATCCCATATGCATAACCCCCTTATTATTCCTGGATAATACCTTTCAATCATAATTATGAGATGAAAACAAAGGTAATTTGGCATATTGTGAGAAAAAGAAAAAGCACAGTCTATGGGGAAAGCAAATGGTCCCTTACTGCCAAAGCAGTTGTCCAACCCTGATATTATTATAAATAGTAGTGGTGGTAATCATAGGACCCTGTTTTTCTCTCAGGACTGAGACCCAAAGAGCTCACAACCTAATATATATATACAATGTAAAAAGCTACAAAAGATTAATATTGAAATAGAATTGAATATATTGCTTCAATTGTAAGATGCCATCAATTGTGATGTAGTGATTTCAGTAGAGACCGCAGATAGTGGGTTCATGCCTGGTGAGCTTCTGCTAAACCAGATCAGCCAAAACAGAGAACAAATCACTCTGGGTTTGAAGGCAAATGACAAAGGGTTATTATAGTTTGGCCAAAAGGGATGTAATACCAAGTCACAGCTCAAAAATGTACAAGCATACCAACATGTCAGAGAGGTTTACAGCTAGTGGCTATCTTATCCTGAAGTAAATAACTGGCCTCTTGCTCTGAGAGTCCCCTGATCCAGAATTAGAAGAAAAAGGGAAGCAGAGAACTACCACTCAGACAGAGGTGTGCACATTTTTGACTCCATAAGCTGGGATGTCATGCAGAGCATTTTTTACCTCATCTTCTAGCCATCTGGAATTTTGATACTGCATCAAGTAGTGCCAGTCTCCACAGTTCAAGGCTGCTGAGACCTTACATTCAGGGACTTGGAACAGAGTTGCCATATTGTTACTGTGTTTTTTCAAGTCATTTTCAGAGAATTGTGACCCTAAGACAATTCTATCATAAAGTTTTCTTGATAAAGTTTCTTCCAGAGAGGATTTCCTCTGAAGCAACATGACTTGCCCAAAATCACCTAGTGGGTTTCCATGGCTGAGTGGGTATTTGGAACCTGGTCTCCAATGTCCTAGTCCAGCACCCAAACTGCTATACCACAATTTGGAATGACAGCCCCTTTACCTACTTGAGATCTAATTATGTTGAGTAGGACTAAAATATCAGCCCTACTATATTTGCCACATAAAATAAAGAGCTGGAAGTGAGCAGGAAGGCAATGAATAACAAACAATAACAAACAAGTACAGGCAGTCCCCAGGTTACAAACATCCAACTTACAAATGACTCACAAACAAAGGGGGTGAGACAACAGGAAGTGAGAGAAATCTAGCCATAGGAAGAAAAATTCACTCCTGAAAAAGTTATCATGGGGAAAGGGTATCTCAACTGAAGTTTTATCACCAATCTATGTTTCCACAACAAGTCACATTTTCCAAAATTCAATTATCACAGGGACAGAGAATAAGGTGAAATCTTCTGAACCTGGGTGCAGACAGCAAAACAAACACCACAAGGATATTAACCCTTCCCTATGCTATCCAAAGTATTGTGTGTAGGGGGTGTGTGGGTGTGTGTGTCTGCACCCAGGTTCAGAAGATTTCACCTCATTCTCTGTCCCTGGGATAATTGAATTTTGGAAAATGTGACTTGTTGTGGAAACATAGATAGCGATAAAGTATGCATAAGCAATATCTAATGCATGCATGATAATCCTTATCTGAGGTCTATGTGACCAATATAGAATGTTACCAAACCATATTTGCTGTTTAAGAGGGTGTTCTCAGGATCTAACACTTTATATGTAACCATAACATTTAGTTGTTGGCCCTGGCCACATAATACTGCAGTTACAGAATTTCTAGCATAATAAAAATGATAGAACTTGGCAAACAATACAGGCCACAGGGAGGCATCAGCTATTGTCTAGATTAGTGGTTCTCAACCTGGGGTCCCCATATGTTTTTGGCCTTCAACTCCCAGAGATCCTAACAGCTGGTAAACTGGCTGGGATTTCTGGGAGTTGTAGGCCAAAAACATCTGGGGACCCCAGGTTGAGAACCACTGGTCTAGATGGTGTGTATCGGGCTCACTAAAACAGATCTGCATAAAGCTGGATTTTAATTCTTATTCTATACCAACAGTACTTCACAACATAATTAGTGTCACTGAGTTCAAATGTTAGATCGAGATTGGAAATAATGCAGCTCTCCAGTTGTACTGGATTGTAACACCCAGCATTCTTCACCACCAGCAATACTGGTTGCAGCTTTGAGGAATTCCAGTGCAACAAAATCCAATGGGAGATAGATTATTCTCATCTACCCTATTGGCCATTTAGTTTTTTTAGGAACTCTTTTCACTTCTGTTTAAACTGCCCCAGATTACCACCCAATAGGTCAAATGCTGTTGAATCATCCACATAGACATCCCACAGCTTACATTGTTCTTAAAGGTCAAGAAAACCTTGCTCACATCTGCTCCAGTCCAAATAGCTCCCCTGTGTTAAGCCATGTATTAAGTCGAAGAAGCCAAGGTCAACTTGAGCCAGACAGAGCTGAATATATCTGTGGATGCTTAGAAAGTATGAGATCTTTCACAACCTTCTAGATGACAATATAACCAAGCCCCATCCAAATGGCAATGAAGCTATGCCTTCTTTCTTTTTTGTGTGATAATTTCTATTGCCTTCCCTTTTCTTTTAATGGCATGTAAACAGGAAACACAAGCAGTGTTGAAGATTAAGTAATTAGGCAGCATTAGAGGCATTTGGAGCGCAGGGTCACCGAGAAAAAAGGATGAGGGAATGAGAGAAGCTGTGGGCTGCCTGTCTACTGGAGAGTTATAAAATATTCTCCTTACTCACAGCTTGGGAGCCGTAGGAGAGAAAGCTTCACACAAACCGTGTGTTCCTTATTATCTCCAGTCTGGAAAGAGACAGCATCCATGGGTAAGTAAAACTCATGCTAAATATAGACAAATGAATTAGTTTTTTATGTATGCAAGATCCTTTTTTCCTCCTACTGTAGAAACTAAAAAAAAATCGTGTTATTTGTGTTTTTAAGTTCATATGTTTGCACTTTGAAAAACACCCATTTATGTATATATATAAACACAGAAGTTCTGTATAAAAAGACAAGCGCAGAACAAACTGTTAGATAATTCATCATCAATCTTTTACACTTATAAAAACTGGTGTCGCCAAATCGGCAGAGGAAATGGAATGAAATATAAGATACCTGTGGGGTTATTTTTAAGCAAACAGAATGTATGATTTGCTGTCACAAAATGAAAGCCAGTTGTATTATTTTCTCCTGTCCATTTACAGCAGCACATAATAATCAAAACCGTTCCCAATATGTGTATCATGAATTGTAGTCCCATCAATAAATCAACTAAAGCTGTTGATTCATCCACTGATTTAAAATGTGTTGTTGTTTTTTACATTATAGTAAATATTGCTTTCAAGCACAGAATGATTAGCAGAAACCTTAATGTTAAGGAGACTGTCAAGGGAAGTGTGATATACTTTATGGCAAGTAATATAATATACTGTATGTTATAGAATGCATATGCTCTAGATTCTGCATGCAGCATGTGTCAAAAACATCAGCCCTCTGAATCTAGTCATGACACACACATACACACCAAAATGGGTGGTCTTAACTATTGCATGACATTTTAACATTGAGCATCTTAGCATTACAGATCTGATAAAATCAGTGTTTAAGACATCCCAGGATATAAGGACTGAGCACCTCCATACCATTTGCCTTAACTTTGAAAATAATGCCTAAACAAGGTTGTAATTGTGCTAAATATCTCTGTAATTCTCTGAATGTAATTGACCAGCCTGAGGTTTGAATATGTTGGTGGGGATAGGAAATGGAAGCTGAAATAATAATTTTTGAGTCTCTTTATTCGGTTGTGTCTAAGAATGTCAGGAGCGTCTTATTATAATAAAGCATATTCCTTATTAGAGGCATGGAAAACTTATTACTTGTGGTATAATAAGGTGTTCCTTACTTTAAGGGATGTTCTCTATTTGAGAGTTGAAAACTTTTCCTATTATCTAAACTGAACAAGATTATCAGATTTTGGAGTGAGGCCTTCCTTAAATACAGTGCTTTGATTTATTGTCGAAGGCTTTCATGGCCGAAATCACTGGGTTGTTGTAGGTTTTTTCGGGCTATATGGCCATGGTCTAGAGGCATTCTCTCCTGACGTTTTGCCTGCATCTATGCCAAGCATCCTCACTACCTCTGAGGATGTTTGCCATAGATGCAGGCGAAATGTCAGGAGAGAATGCCTCTAGACCATGGCCATATAGCCCGAAAAAACCTACAACAACCCAGTGCTTTGATTGTTTATTGTTACATGGCAGTGATTGGACTGGATGGCCCATATGGTCTATTCTGCATCTATGATATAGGAACTAAAAATATGGCTATGGGACCAAACCTTTGGTCAGTAACTTGAGCAGTGCAATAAGTGATTATGAAAGAAAACAACGACAAATGGAATGGCCTTGGATTATGATTTAGATTGTATAGTTTTAATTGATGTTTTAATGTTGATGTTTTTAATTGTTTGGATTGTAATGTATATGCTTATTTTATTACAATGTATATGTATGGCTAAATGAAAACTAAATGGACCAGTACAACCAGAGATATGTCGGTATGCCATTGGAAGATGGGACTACCAGGTCGGAAGATGGCCAAAATGCTACTGGGGAGGAGCAGAGGATAAGTTCAACTAGCCCCAGATGTGATGACGCAGCTAGCTCAAAGCCGAAAGGAAGGCTAGCGGCCGACGGTACTGGAGGTGAACGACGAATCCGATGCTCTAAAGATCAACACACCATAGGAACCTGGAATGTAAGATCTATGAGCCAGGGCAAATGGATGTTGTTATTGGCGAGATGTCAAGACTAAAGATAGACATTCTGGGGGCCAGCGAACTGAAGTGGACTGGAATGGGCCACTTCACATCAGATGACCACCAGATCTACTACTGCGGACAAGAGGAACATCGAAGAAATGGAGTAGCCTTCATAATTAATAAGAAATTCGCTAAAGCGGTGCTTGGATACAACCCAAAAAATGACAGAATGATCTCAATTCGAGTGCAAGGAAAGCCTTTCAACATCACAGTGATCCAAATATACGCCCCAACCACAGCTGCTGAAGAAGCAGAAGTAGATCAGTTCTATGAGGATCTGCAGGACCTACTGGATAATACACCAAAAAGAGACATTATTTTCATTACAGGAGACTGGAATGCCAAGGTGGGAAGTCAAATGACAACTGGGATCACAGGCAAGCATGGTCTGGGAGAACAAAATGAAGCGGGACGCAGGCTGATAGAATTTTGCCAGGAAAACTCGCTGTGTATAATGAATACTCTCTTCCAACAACCTAAAAGACGGCTTTACACATGGACCTCACCAGACGGTCAACACCGAAATCAGATTGACTACATCCTTTGCAGCCAAAGGTGGCGGACATCCATCCAGTCGGTGAAAACAAGACCTGGGGCTGACTGTAGCTCAGATCACGAACTTCTTATTGCCCAATTTAGAATAAAACTAAAGAGATCAGGGAAAATACACAGACCAGTTAGATATGATCTCACTAACATTCCTAGCGAATATACAGTGGAAGTGAAGAACAGATTTGAAGGACTAGATTTAGTAAACAGAGTCCCAGAAGAACTATGGACAGAAGTCCGCGACATTGTGCAGGAGGCGGCAACAAAGTACGTCCCAAAGAAAAAGAAAACCAAGAAGGCAAAATGGTTGTCTGCTGAGACACTGGAAGTAGCCCAAGAAAGGAGGAAAGCAAAAGAAAACAGGGATAAGGGGAGATATGCCCAGTTAAATGCGCAATTCCAGAGGTTAGCCAGAAGAGATAAGGAACTATTTTTAAATAAGCAATGCATGGAAGTGGAAGAAGACAACAGAATAGGAAGGACAAGAGACCTCTTCCAGAAAATTAGAAACATTGGAGGTAAATTTCAGGCAAAAATTGGTATGATAAGAAACAAAGATGGAAGGGACCTAACAGAAGCTGAAGAGATCAAGAGAAGGTGGCGAGACTATACAGAAGATCTGTATAGGAAGGATAATAATATTGAGGATAGTTTTGATGGTGTGGTGAATGAATTAGAACCAGACATCCTGAGGAGTGAGGTTGAATGGGCCTTAAGAAGCATTGCTAACAACAAGGCAGCAGGAGATGACGGGATCCCAGCTGAACTGTTTAAAATCTTTAAAGATGATGCTGTCAAGGTGATGCATGCCATATGCCAGCAAATATGGAAAACACAAGAATGGCCATCAGACTGGAAAAAATCAACCTATATCCCCATACCAAAAAAGGGAAATGCGAAAGACTGCTCAAACTTCCGTACAGTGGCCCTTATTTCTCATGCCAGTAAGGTAATGCTCAAGATCCTGCAAGGAAGACTCCAGCAATACATGGAGCGAGAGTTGCCAGATGTTCAAGCTGGGTTTAGAAAAGGTAGAGGAACGAGAGACCAAATTGCCAATATCCGCTGGATAATGGAGAAAGGCAGGGAATTTCAGAAAAACATCTACTTCTGCTTCATTGACTATTCTAAAGCCTTTGACTGTGTGGATCATAATAAATTGTGGCAAGTTCTTGGTGGAATGGGCATCCCAAGCCACCTTGTCTCTCTCCTGAGGAATCTGTACAAGGACCAAGTAGCAACAGTCAGAACTGACCATGGAACAACAGACTGGTTCAAGATTGGGAAAGGCGTACGGCAAGGCTGCATCCTCTCACCCAACCTTTTTAACTTGTATGCAGAACACATCATGCGAGGATGTGCGGGGCTTGATGAATGCAAAGCTGGGGTGAAAATTGCTGGAAGAAACATTAACAACCTCAGATATGCAGATGACACCACTCTGATGGCCGAAAGCGAGGAGGAGCTGAGGAGCCTTCTAATCAAGGTGAAAGAAGAAAGCGCAAAAGCCGGGTTGCAGCTAAACGGCAAAAAAAACCAAGATTATGGCAACAAGAATGATTGACAACTGGAAAATAGAGGGAGAAACCGTGGAGGCCGTGACAGACCTTGTATTTCTAGGTGCAAAGATTACTGCAGATGCAGACTGTAGCCAGGAAATCAGAAGACGCTTACTTCTTGGGAGGAGAGCAATGTCCAATCTCGATAAAATAGTAAAGAGTAGAGACATCAGAATTGGCAACAAAGATCCGCCTAGTCAAAGCCATGGTATTCCCTGTAGTCACCTACGGATGTGAGAGCTGGACCTTAGGTAAGGCTGAGCGAAGGAAGATCGATGCTTTTGAGCTGTGGTGTTGGAGGAAAGTTCTGAGAGTGCCTTGGACTGCGAGAAGATCCAACCAGTCCATCCTCCAGGAAATAAAGCCCGACTGCTCATGGAGGGAAGGATAGTAGAGACAAAGATAAAGTACTTTGGCCACATCATGAGAAGACAGGAAAGCTTAGAGAAGACAATGATGCTGGGGAAAATGGAAGGAAAAGGAAGAGGGGCCGACCAAGGGCAAGATGGATGGATGGCATCCTTGAAGTGACTGGACTGACCTTGAAGGAGCTGGGGGTGGTGACGGCCGACAGGGAGCTCTGGCGTGGGCTGGTCCATGAGGTCACGAAGAGTCGGAGACGACTGAATGAATGAACAACAACAACATGTATGGCATCAAATTATTGCCTTTTGTAAGGCTTCTCTGAGTCCCCTTCAGAGTGAGAAGGGCTGGGTACAAATCTGGTAAATAAATAGATAAATAATGTGTATGACATGTAATTTGTGATTGTGGACAATACATGAAAACCACTAACTGACTTTGAGAAAGTCACCACTCTCAAAGACAAAATCAATAGCAAATATCTTCTGAAAAAAATCTTGCCAAGAAACCCCTAGGATAGGCTTAAAGTTGCATGGGTTGTAAATTACTTGAAAGCACACAACAGCAACAACAACAACAACAACAACAACAACAACACCTTTCCTGGTTGTCAACTCTGCATGTCATGGATGTTGACTGTCCTTTATTGATATTTTGAAAACCTAGAAACTAATTGTATTCTTGCAACTGAAAATCATTGCTAGGATTCAGAACTTACCTGGGTGCTTTGGTTTTTAATTGTTTTACAGAACATCTACACAGAGATGCACTCTAATATATACTTTTGGAGGAATAATTCTTCCTGAGATCACTGAGTAGGATTTACTTCCAATCCAATATGCAGAGAATTGGGCTGCATGTGAAACACAGAAACAGACAGGCACATACCCACACACACTTTCAAGCGAATCAATATAGAACCCTAAATATAGGAATACTTGGAATGCTAGTCACAGTAAACTCATCTGTAATTTCCCACCAGTACAAAATGCAGCCGGTCACTTGAACTTGATTGCAGAGTAACAGGCTGAATTTCAATCAATTTGAAAAGCAACCATATGCATTGCATTTTACGCAGTATTTTATGGACTGTGGGGTAGCCTGAAATTCCATTTGAGTGCAGACCTGTCAACTTGCATCATTTCATGCCAACGTTTCCAGAAGCCCTATGCAGACAGTTCAGGGGCAGAGATTAAGTGACTCTGTGTGCATTTTAAACATAGCACAAACAAACCACCAAGCAGAGCATCTCCCATGAGGCTAAAGAAAAGCATCATGCTCTATCACTCGCTGCATGTAAATGATCCAGCCATACTGTATACACTCCATCTTTACCAGCCTCACAAGCATCTTGAAAAAAATAAACATAGCCACTACTCTGAGAATTTTATCCTAGGTTTTTTACTCTACTGTACTAGTAGTATTAAGGTGGAGATTATTCACATTTGAGGCGAATTAACATATGTTTTATTTTGTGCTCTTGTTTCTGTTTTGTTATTGTCATTCAGAATAAATGTTACCTCCATAAAGCATATTTATCTATATAAATAAAATGTAATTTTCGTTTGTGGGATTAGCAGAACTCAAAAACCACTGGACGAATTGACCCCAAATTTGGACACAAGACACCTAACAACCCAATGTATGTCCTTCACTCAAAAAATTGATTTTGTCATTTGGGAGTTGTAGTTGCTGGGATTTATAATTCGCCTACAATCAAAGAGCATTCTGAACCCCACCAACAATAGAATTGAACCAAACTTGGCACACAGTTCTCCCATGACCAACAGAAAATACTGGAAGGGTTTAGTGGGCAGTGTCCTTTGGTTTTGGAGTTGTAGTTCACCTACATCCAGAGAGCACTGTGGACTCAGACAATGATGGATCTGGACCAAACTCTACACGAATACTCAGTATGACCAAATGTGAACACTGGTGGAGTTTGGGGAAAATAGAATCTTGACATTTGGGAGTTTAGTTGCTGGGATTTGTAGTTCACCTACAATCACAAAGCATTCTGAACCCCACCAATGACAGAATTGGGCCAAACCTCCCACACAGAACCTCCATGACCACCAGAGTGGGCCACAGCAACGTGTGGCAGGGGACAGTTAGTCTATATAAATAAAAATGTAAAGTTCATTTGTGGGATTAACGTAACTCAAAAACCACTGGACAAATTGACACCAAATTTTTGCAATCTTTATATGTATTCATGTCTTTATTTAATTTTTAATAGGGATGGTTCCCACAATAACCTACCTTGATAATATTTGGAGATCTCACCATGAAACACTAGGTTCTTCAGGTAGAGAATCTCTACAATACTGATATGAGACCAAGATACTTATCATCTGAGGAAAAGAAAGTCATAGATGTTTGGTGGCAAAATGACATTGCTAACTCCACTCAGGATGATATGAACAATTTGGAGGGTGTAGAAGGGCCCAATCCATTTTATTGCTTGAGACAAAAGTTTATTCCTTTTCTCTTACTTCAGCACTGGTGGTGAGACCACACATGAAACAGATCCCTATCCTTAGGGGCACAGATGGGTATAATTGTGGGAAGCTCCCCAAATAAGAATGTAGTCCCTCAAATTATTTTTTCCTTCAGTTCCCAATTTTTTAGCATTTGTAATGTCAAACTTCAGTTTTGAAATGTACTTTAGTCAGCCAACATAGGAAAAAAGGCAAAGTGACCAAGGGAACGTGAACACAAAAAATATAAGAGTTCTGCATGTGAACAAAATTTCTGCAATGCTATAAATTTGAAGACAGAATGAAACTTTCAGTTGAAGGTGAATTCTTATTTGAGGAGTAATGCCCTGTTTTGCACCCATCTCTTCTGAAACTAAATCCCTTGGTACAATGCAGGACATTTAGCAAACATATGGCTGTGACTTTGTCCAGTATCGGTTGCCTGGATAACCTTCCCCACCTTCAAATAGTAGAACCATCCCTAGAGTCCAAATAGTTATAGACGTGTCACTTTAACAGGGGATTTGAAGTGGAATCTAATCTATACATCTGACTGGATGAAAAATACTCCTATATAAATAGCATTTTGCTGCTGAAAATTCCATCATTAATATTTGAAAGACATAAATTAAACTTCTGGAATGGAAGAATCTTTGATTTTATATCTATACATTTGAAAGTCACCTGTTGTCAAATCTATATTCAGTTAACCTTCCCCCGATTATTTTATCCTATATCTTTGTTTTTGTTCCATAACATAATCTTCCATCTGGTCTACATCTTGGAAGGGTTTTGAATGTTGCTGTGCATATGGTGTTAGTTCATTGATCAAGTCACTAGAGAAATAAAACACCTGGATGTTCTCTCTTTTAAGTAAAAGTATGTAAATTTAATGACTAATTTAGGCCCTGCTCATTCAGCCTCTTGCCATTTTAAAAATAATATGATTTGAGTCAAGCAGACAAATGCTTTTCCTTTTCCTTAAAAAAGAAATGGGAGAGAGGATCCAGGTTAGTGTTTGAATGGAGTTTCAGAAGGGTAACAATTTATGTAAATATATTGTCGAAGGCTTTCATGGCTGGAATCACAGGGTTGTTGTAGGTTTTTTTAGGCTATATGGCCATGTTCTAGAGGCATTCTCTCCTGACGTTTTGCCTGCATCTGTGGCAAGCATCCTCAGAGGTTGTGACCTCACAACCTCTGAGGATGCTTGCCATAGATCAGTGTTTCACAACCTGGGGGTCAGGACCCCTGGGGGGGTCATGCGGGGGGGGGGTCAGAGGGGTCGCCAAAGACCATCAGAAAACAGTATTTTCTGTTGGTCATGGGAGTTCTGTGTGGGAAGTTGGCCCAATTCTCTCATTGGTGAGGTTCAGGATGCTCTTTGATTGTAGGTGAACTATAAATCCCAGCAACTGCAACTTCCAAATGTCAAGGTCTATTTTCCCCAAACTTCACCAGTGTTCACATTTGGGCATATTGAGTATTCGTGCCAAGTTTGGTCCAGATCCATCATTGTCTGAGTCCACAGTGCTCTCTGGATGTAGGAGAATTACAACTCCAAAACTCAAGGTCAATGCCCACCAAACCCTTCCCGTGTTTTCTGTTGGTCATGGGAGTTCTGTGTGCCAAGATTGGTTCAATTCCATTGTGGGTGGAGTTCAGAATGCTCTTTGATTGTAGGTGAACAATAAATCCCAGCAACTACAATGACAAAATCAACCCCCCCCCCCTTACAACCCCACCAGTATTCAAATTTGGGCGTATTGGGTATTTGTGCCAAATTTGGTCCCATGAATGAAAATACATTTTGCATATCAGATATTTACATTACGATTCATAACAGTAGCAAAATGACAGTTATGAAGTAGCAACGAAAATAATATTATGGTTGGGGGTCCCCACACCATGGGGAACTGTATTAAGGGGTCACGGCATTTGGAAGGTTGAGAAACACTGCCATAGATACAAACGAAACATCAGGAGAGAATGCCTCTAGAACATGGTCATATAGCCTGAAAAAACCTATAACAACCCAATTTATGTAAATTAACTGTGCTTGGAGAGAATCTGGATTTGTTTGGTAGGAAAGTTGACCTTTTCCACAACCACCCATATTGAACACTTATATATACTAATATTTTCCATCCACTTTTGAACTGTCAGTAGCTAACAATCTGATTGTTCTAGGGGTGAGGAATGAGTTTGTGAAGATCTGCAAGTAATCAGACCACTAAGAGGAGATTCTTGTTATTTCCCAAAAACCCAGTCACATTCCATTTCTTTTGCACAGGTCTGATTTTGTAAGAAATTATTGTCTTCATTTTCTTTTTTATATATTTGCTTTCTGAACAGAGGCACTAAATCTGCACCTGGAACATCTCAAATTTGGTGGAGGAGACGCGAAAGAAGATCAGATAATTGAATCGCTAAGTGGAATTCTTCAAGCTCTGACTGAAGATAGTTAAGTACTACTGTAATATAGCAGAAGATGACCTCTACCTTAGTCCTTTTCAGATGTTAAGGAATTCTATGGAGAAATATTTAATTAATATTAACTTTAAAATAAGAGTTTTGATTTTTACTGTTACCACCCACACCTCATTTGGGTCTTTCTGTAAAGACACCAGCAAAAAGAAAGCCTTGTTTTCTCTCAAATTTTATTGGGTAGATTAGGATGGGCAACTTCATGTAGGTTGTGCTGCCTGATCTAGAGTAGGTGAAATACATATGAAGAATTGTGTGTATGTGTGTATTTAACAAAACTCAAGTATAAGTAGGGAACTTTAATAATGCAGGAGGTTGTAATATTTTTAAAAGAATTGTCAATTAGCTTCAACTGATTCCATTTCAAGATTCCTGTGGAATCTTGAAATCTGCAAATTTCAAATTTTTAGAAAGACGTTTTCAAATTCTCATCCAATAATTTCAGTGCCCACAAAGTCCAGAACTCATAGAATATTGTTCTATTAGAGTGGTATCATAGTGTTATGACTGTATAGTGCAAAAGGGGTGTCAATCTTTCTCTTGTGCTCTCCTTAACCTGACCTCAGAACACATATTAGGCGTTGAAACCCTACTATACCTATAGTGCCATGTAATGCCGAATTTACCATTATGCTTATCTTCCTACCCAAAACAATATTTTATGATGGACTTTGTTTATTGGTGCAATTGTAAATTGGAAGGTGTTCTGTTTTGGAGACATAATGACAGTGTTGATAGTCTATGGGAGTGTGCTATAAAGCCCATAGTATAGGCCTACTGCACCTAACTCCTTCAGCAGGCATGTAGCCGGGCCGGGGGGGGGGGGGCTAGGGGGCTTCAGCCCCCCCCCCCCCAAAATTTTCATGCTGGTTCATGAAAAGGCCTTACTGGTGCATTATTTAAACTGTTATGTTTATTTATATCATGATCTGATCACCATGCTCAATATATCCCATATGCATGGGGGTATTGGGGTAACCATACAAAAGGTTTGCTAGGGTAGACCCTCTTTCACTCAGACTCAGCCCCCCCCAAACTCAGCCCCCCCCACCCCCCCCCCCGAATCAAAATCCTGGCTACGGGCCTGTCCAAGTAAGAGGCCTCATAACTTAACTAGCACAGGCCCCATTTGTCCTAAATCTAGCATTGGTGTCATGGTAATATCTGCCAGTCTTCTTGTCTAAAGCCTGGACCCTTGGTTGTTTAGGTTGAGCCCATACTACGCTTCCATGCATGTTGTTAAGAGCTGGGGTGCTGGTCAATAAACTCACTGCTTCTTACATGCCCTTGCTCTGTTCATAGGATTTTATATTTCCATTATGACCTCATTCTGATGTTACCTACCTGTAGCAGAGGTCACAGTAAATTTGTGTTGATGTTTCTGGCTTGAAAGAAGAAGACTGGCTGATACTATCTTTCTGCAGTGGGGAGGGAGAGGAGATTGAAGGAAAACAGAGAGAGTTCATTCTTCACATGTCTAGATATGGCCATAGGTCCTTTGACCCTAGACAAGACTGGGGTTCCTTTGTTGTCTTTCTCTGCCATGTTAGACAGCCAGACAGGCAAGTATTGCTCTCTGTAAAGGCTAAGCAATAGCATTTCTCTGTGCTATGTTCTCTTGCTGTCTACCTACTACTTTTCCAAAGAAAAGAACTGACTACATAGCAGGCTTTCTAGAAAATGAGAAAGTCTCAGAGATCCAATTTGATAAAGACTTTGGTTCTTCTCATAGAGAGTGAGAGAAGACCAACAGAAAACTAAAAATGAAAGCATTACACAGCATATACCTCTAAAATAGAGGTTGAGGGAATTGAAGGCCAACCCTGTTGTGTACCCTTTCAAGCCCAAGAGACCTCTTAAGCTTTGTGCTAAAACAGTGGACTTTTTGTCCATTGTTTCAGTGCAATTGTTTGACACCCAAATCACCACCAAATCATTATTATTTAGTTTCTCTTGCCTCCCATTACTTTTTGTAAACCAAGAAAAATATTTTATTATTTTTCTGGCAGCAGATTACTTTACCTGTCAGCATTTGCTTAGCAACTGTCACCTGCTCTTCAGAGAAGCTGTTTTGTGTGCTTGCAATAACAACACAACTTGAGCTTGAAGGTGATGTTAAGTGTCCATTTGACAACTTTTGTGTGAGAAAGTGTTACAACAGGCCTAAATTTAACTGCTGGTACAAATATGGTAGGTATAAAATCCCCTTTGTAAGAAAGGAAACTGTGGGTCCTTCTATACATGCCCTAAAATGCGAAAGAAATCAAGATAAAAGGAGGGGGTAGCTAAATGACATTTCATGAAAATGCGTGCTTAGTCAAATTAACAGCTGAAAAACACGTGTTTAAAAAGTGCACATAAAACTCGATTTTGGCCCAAAAATGTGCATATTCACATGACTATAAATCCCTGTAGTCAAGGAACACATAACTTTGTATACCCTGATATGGACTGCTCCAGTGCGTGTGCACATTTTAAAATCCCAAAACTGCTGAGCTGGGCTGTAAACAAATGGAGCCATGGATACATAGGGGGCTAAATGGAAGTAAAAATGGAAAGCAATTATAATGAGAACTCTCTGCAACCATTTATTTGTTCTGATCTTTATGAAATTAAACAGAGCTTGAACTTACACTAGAAATCTGCTTGTGTGTAAATTTAGATATCCACTTCAATGCATATGAGGTCCAGTACATCTCGCTGCATCAAATTTTTAAAAAGTAAACTTTTGTCGATGTCCTAAATCCATCTTGCAGATTTCTAATATCCGCTACAAAGGAAGGTGTCAGGATGGCAGGGGACCATTTACCAGTACTGTGTTTGTGTTTGCTGTCAGGTCCTGCAATTTTTGCCACACTTATTTGTCCCATATTTTGATGCTGCCTGGAAGTGCTCTGTGACTCTTTCCAATGTCTAAAAAAAGGGTTTGGCCATGTTTTACAGCAGTAAAACCCAAATAGTGACCTCAAATTACCTCACATCTCATTAGTTTGTGCCTATATATGTAAGTGGAAGCTATAAAGTAAGGTAAAGTCTCTTCAGTAACCATGCCTCAATTAATGTAATTTTATTGGTATCTATTTTTATTTTGAAATCTACCGGTAGCTGCTCCATTTCCCACCCTATACTTATACTCGAGTCAATAAGTTTTGTCCGTTTTTGTGGTAAAATTTGGTGCCCCAGCTTATATTCAGGTCAGCTTATACTGGTAAGTTGTAAGTAAGTAGGTATGCATCCATTTTTTATTCATTTTCTTCTCAAATAAAATGGTTTTCAAAGACCATTTATAATTTGGGACTTATTCCGCATAGAATTTCTATGTGACCACTTTACAACAGCTCTTTCAACATGGAAAATTATATTTCTGCATACAAATATTATTTTATGCATGCAAAAGGCTGGTTTCTCTGCAAAACAACCACATAATATTTTTGCACTGAATAATAATAATAATAATACCTTTATTTTTGTACCTTGCTTCAATCTCCCTGAAGTGACTCCCCAAATCTCCTTGAAGTGACTCGCCTCAATCTCCCCGGAGGCTTACATATGACACAAGGTGCTTAAAAACAACGCGTAAAATAAACACACCGTACAATACAAAAAAGTAAATCCAATAACACATAAAACAACAATTTAAAACTGAGAACAACACCCAATAACCTATGGGGACAACTGCTGTAAAACATGGCCAAACCATAAACAAGACAAGGGAATGGGATTGTGCAAATTGTAGCTAAGGAACAAGGGCATGGGATGAAAGTGCAGTTCCATGTCATGAATTGTGGACCACTGAGGCTAGACATTCTCAAAGGCTTGTTTAAACATCTAAGTCTTCAAATCTCTGTGGAAGATGCAGAGTGTGGGGGCCTGCCTAATCTCCCTGGGGAGGGTGTTCCAAAGTTGGGGGACACCACAGAGAAGGCCCTCTCCTTCGTCCCCACCAACCATACTTGTGACGGTGGCAGGACCACAAGGAGAGCCTCCCCAGCAGATCTTAACACTTGTGCAGGTACATAGGAGAGAATGCAATCACAAAGATAGGCAGGGCCCAAACCATTTTGAATTGACACCAGAAACTTATCAGTAGCCAGTGGAGCTGTTTTAATAGGGACATTGTGTGCTCCGTAGCCAGCTCCAGTTAGTGGTGTGGCTGTTGATCTTTGTACCAATTGCAGTTTCTGAGCCATCTTCAAAGGCAGCACCACGTAGAGTGCATTACAGTAACCCAATCTTGATGTAACTAAGGTGTGGACCACTGTGGCCAAATCTGGCTTCTCGGGGTATGGTCGCAGCTGGCACCCAAGCTTTAACTGTGCAAAGGCCCTCCCAGCCACCGCCGATACCTGAGCTTCAAGTGTCAGTGCTGAATAAATACCGAATGGCAAGATTTGTTGCTATTTGTTGCTATGATCTGGCCACAGTGGTCCATGCTCTTGTAACATCGTGAATAGATTACTGCAACGCGCTCTACGTGGGGTTGCCTTTGAAGACTGTTTGGAAACTTCAACTAGTCCAGCGGGCGGCAGCTAGACTTCTCACTGGAGCATCATACAGAGAGCATACCACCCCTCTGTTATGTCAGCTCCACTGGCTGCCAATTCAGTTCTGAGCACAATTCAAAGTGCTGGTCTTGAACCTATAAAACCCTATACAGTACCAGCCCAGCGTACCTGTCCGAATCTATCTCCTTCTACATCCCGCCTAGGAATTTAAGATCTTCTGGAGGGGTCCTGCTCTCGGCCCCGCCCTTGTCACAAACAAAATTGGCGAGGACGAGGGACAGGGCCTTCTCAGTGGTGACCTCCCGCCTGTGGAATTCACTCCCCAGGGAAATTAGATCATTGTCATCCCTCCTCTCTTTCAGAAGGAAATTAAAAACATTGATATGGGACCAGGTCTTTTGGTAATCTGGCAGACTGACAATGGACAATGACGACTAAAGCTTTGGAAACGGACTATGATAAGCGAAATTA